TAACCCTTGGCTACTACTCAAAATATTTTTTACACGGTCACTACTCAAGGGTCATTTTGACCCTGCTATAAAACTTTGTATATCTTCATAACTATTGCGGTTTTTGGAGTAAAACACATTATTTAATAAAAAGGGTTTATAATGCAATGAAATAACAACTTTAATTGTTAACTAAACAGTTTGGAGGAACATTAATTGAGCATATGATTGCAAATGGGTATTTTACAGTAAGAAATTTGGGTTTGCGATCTTTTTTATAGGAACAAATGCTGCAAAGTTTCCTTTTAGATACCACATTAGAGACAACTGGAACAGATCTTTCAGGCATAGGCAGTTTGTATATCCTTGAAGTTATCAGACGCAATTGTCGGGGAATCTTTTTATTGCAAATTCGCTGCTATGCGTAAGGTAGGTATATCTTCATATCAAGCCCTCGTAGGAAGTTTGGCCGATTTACTGATGCTGTGTAAAGAAGCAGAGGTGGAGGGGCCTTGTATCGTGGAAGTATCCACCTCATTAAAATCACCATCATCAAGCAACAAAACATTGACAATTTCTACATCCGTGAGCGTATTTCTACCACCCATACCTATGAAAAACCAAACCAAAATGAAGAAAAAGACGACGACAAAAAGCTACACAGTAAGTACAAAACAAACCCTCAAACAAATAGTATTTTACACATAAAAAGAACCTAAAAAAATATCACATGATATTTTTTTATCGCCTGTCTTTGCTACTCAAGGGTCACTGTGACCCTGTTTTTGCTATTTTGGCGCGAATAATGCACTAATCCACTGGAAACACCCACCATGCGAAGCAGCGAGCGCCGTATTGAAAATACACGGGCGGGGGACTCGCAGTCGTTAGGGGTCATTACCAGTAAACGTAGGTTTTAAAGTTGGCAGGGTCTCACTGACCCATGAGTAGTGACCAAGGGATAATAATCAGTTCATTCGAAGCTTCCATTACACGTTATTCGGATTTAAATTGTAGATTATTATTATGGACATCAGAGTATCATATTTTTTAATGTAAACCCATAACGTTTCCTCTTAATTTCCTATCGGAATTGTATTTTTTTACAGCTGATCCGCATTATCACCCGATCTTTGTATTTGTGGAATTCCCAGAATTTTATTTTTCAATTTCCTCGACTCTTAGAGTTATCGCCTCGCCCTACGTTTGGCATTTACGACCTTATTTTATGAGCTACAAAGTCCTACAAAGTACATGGTGAGGGCCAAAGTTTTTCGGCCCTCCCATCTCGCTGTCGTCGACGACTCTAATTTAATTATATAACGTTTTATTTTTCGTTATATTAAGCTGTTATCAGCGTAAAACGTTTAGTAGAGTTTCGAACAAAATACTAATGACGGCTTCTTTCTACTAGAGAGTAGGTAGTCAAAGAATTATAATGCCAATAAAAATGTAACATACTTAACGGTTACATGAAGTTAAATACTGTTGTATCCTATGTCATTTTAATAAGTACGACATTGTATAGTTGTTGCAATTCACGAGGGGGAGTGAGCTTTATATGTGTGGTGTTCATTTTTCAAAAGTTTTGATAGACTACACTATCGTTATGTGCATTTACACGTACACACACACGGTCACAAGTTGACTCACTAGCTTTCGTGAGTTGCATGAACTATAACAAAAATACAGTCTGATGTCTGTGCCTTCGACTCTAGGTACTTTAGAAGAAATAACGCTTACTTCGATAACGTTCCTTTCTGTTACATTGCCTACTTTATATCAATTTCTAGTTACCTTAAAAATTGAATACCTCTGCATTGGACGTTCGGTTCGTGTAAGCACACACAATTTGCACGTAACAGCACGTTGACCTAGACCGCCCTAGTTCCACACGTTATAAGAGCGAAATATTCTACTTTACAGTATGAATAACTTTCTGAAAAGAAACATACAACTAGACACATACAGAGGAACGAAGTATACCTACGAGTATAAAGTCCTGTAACTATAAATATGTCCTATTACTGAAAACGAGTACAAAAATCACACTTTTTTATGCTTAACAAGGCAGGTATTTGACCACAATCGCATCTGGTATTAAGTGAGATGCAGTCTAAGATGGAATTATCTGCCATGTAAGTGCCGATTCACCCTCGCCTTGAAAAGGCCCGGATTATAGTGTTCAGGAAAAACAGCAGCAGGCAGCGAATTTCAGTCCCTAGCTTTGGTTTTAGTTTGCCTGGAACGGAAATAATCGTAATTGTGTGTGTACACTAAACTTATTAGTTATTCATTAAAACGAACAGAAACAGATTTTTTTTTTGTCTTCGGCACTTTTGCGATTTTGGTTAAAGTACCTAATAATGTGCTCACAGTTTTTATTGAACTTCGAAAGTTCTGAGCTCCAAGGGCGTTTAGTTGCAGTCTGCTAATGGATACAGTCTGCTACCAAACGTGAAAAGAGAGAGAGAGATCCAACAATACGTAGCTTTCAAGCTATGTTTTCAAGCAGACTCCGGCATGAGCACGAGATGACATGCAACAATTTACGGATTGACCCCTATAAACCACAACAAATCATAACAAAATCCCAACCAAACGTCACGTTCATAGCCCTCATCAACTCAATAGTCCATCAACTCAAGGGGATCAACAGAAACAGTATTAATTTAACACCAAGTCACAAACTATTTTACAGAATACCCTTTACCTCAAAATGTTTTTCAAGGCCGCTTAACAGTTAAAGCATGTTTCTAACCAAAATTTCTCTTTCAGGACCGCTTCACCGTTGAAGCGAACGAGGGTAGATCAGTATTGACATACACCCCGGTAGCAGACGTGGACTACGGCACGCTATCCTGCCGCGCCACCAACTTGGCTGGTCAGCAGACCTCGCCTTGTATCTATACGCTGCTGCCCGCGACCAGGCCAGATCCGCCGACCAATTGTACAGTGTACAATTTGACTGACGACTCGTTGGACCTCATGTGCTTGGCAGGTAAGTTTTGTTTATCATCATCATCAACAAGTCATTAACGCCCGATACAAGTGCTCCCTATGAAAACAAAATTCCTGTTATGTGTTACCATAGGGGTCACTTAAAAATGAGGGATTGATGGTGAAAACGGGCAATATTGTCTAATCGGCATTTATTCTCTTTCATTCCTAATCACTAATAGATTATCTGCAATTTAGAGTTTACTGTAATAGGCAACGAGTGGGTAAGTATGTACGTACAGTACAAAAAGGTAGATTGAATTTATTTAAATAAGAAACACGTACGGGAATTTTCTCAGTGACTAGTAGTGTAGGCACTTACTTATAATATTCGGTGTAAGAAGGCGCGTGGAGCTTAAAGCGTTTCTCCAAATTGTATGGTCTCCCGTCTACTTTCCTTATTTCTTATTAAAAGGAATCTTTTTGATACAATAATTTTAAGCAGCTACAAAAAATAAAAACAGAATAATCAAAACATGAGTATCAATTTGGTAAATATAGAAATACTTACACATTTCGCGGAATTTCGATTTCAACATTATTTGGGAAAACAGCTTTCGGACTATCTGATATTGTCATTTCCCCGAAAACCACTTTGACGAGGGAACTGTTTCGGATATAAAACATTGAATTTCCTCAAATCGGGAGCATACAAAGTGTACTGAATATTTTCCTGAAAAACGGTAGCTGAAAATGAGGCGTCCGTTAATTATGTTATTGTTCGGGTTGTTATCGTAAAAGATAATTAGTACCAGACTAAAATTCTCAACAGGAATTTTCATCAAACCATTACCGTAAAGAGGTTATATTTTGCAAATGGTGCCGACTGAGTAGATACAAAATACTTTTGGAGATTAAATCTGTAATGATATTATCAAGAAAATGAAGAGGCAATACAAAGTTATAGACCTCTTTAATAATTTCTTAGCATTAAATTTTTTTAGCGGTAAGAATCACATATCGTACTAAATTTTTAAATAACTTGTTAAAATTGAATTCCACCAATTCGATTTATTTCAAGTTTATTAGGTACCAATTTCTTAAAATGGGCAGTGCAGGACCGTGCTTTGTTGAAAACCTTGGGGGAGGCCTTTGTTCAGCAGTGGACAAGTTCGTTCGGCTGAAACGAACGAACGAACAAACTTAGCAGTTTTTAATCACACACAAAATCACAAATAATTAATTTTCTTCAATATTAATCATTACATTACAAGCTAGATTAATGTAGCTGTTTGATATTCTGATTAATATTGTTGTCTGAGGCCCTAAAGCTTAGGATCATTTTGATTCAATGCTTATAGCTCATGCAGCCTAGACGCCAACTGCAGCTTGCTTACACTAACTAGACAGTGGTTCCTTATGGATATAAAAAAGGATTACTAAACTGGTATCATGACGTATTTACTTGAAAACTATAGTTTTTAAGGCGAGAGTGAATAGGCACTTACAGGGCCGATATATTATGTATCAGCCTAGACTGCATCTTAATGAACACCAGGTGCGATTGCGGTCAAATACTTGACATTACCTAATAAAAAAAAGTTTATCTCAATTTTAAAAACTTTGATTCAATTTTAAAGACTTTGAATATTATTCTAGTGTTCTAAAAACGGCAAATTTACCGGCACTTTAATTGCCAAGGAAAATTAGGTGAAGAAACAATTAATCACACAAATTACTTGCAAGTTTCGACAAAATTAATCGGGGCTTAAGCACCTCAGTAATCAAGTGAGGTCGCTTAAAAACATCTTAATCTTCAGCGAGCTCACACTATATTGGAATTGTAATTAACATTAGCAGCTTCTGTAGTCGGTTAGGTACTTTTTGTACATACATTAACCTAATTCCTGAAATGTAACTAACATCTAACAGTGCCCGTGGACGCAAAGGGTTACACACGAACCAATCACAGAGCTCTATCCAACGCTGTGCGTTCGACTTGCTGCTTCACTTAAGCAAGCATCGTTTGTGAATACGGGTGTAATTGTGTATTTTATGTGAACTTTAAAAAATAGAATGCTCTGTGTTTTTCGATTAAGCAATTTTAAGCAAGACCATTACTTCAATATTGAAACTAAAAATGTAATGTTTGGCCATCTGACCATACGGGACTATTCCTACCTCTCGTTCCCACCGCTGCAACTTCTGTGTAGCTTCTGTGGATCTACAGCTTGACCGCCAATAAAAACCCAACCAATAAATGTCAAGTTTACCCCGGGGGAAAGTTAAACTGTCATTGGACGCGCAACGAAATTAATCAGAAGAACATAGGAGGAGTTCGAGGTTAAGGTTCGACTTCCCCCCATTGCAAAGCTGATGACTGGTGACAACCAAAGGTTTAGTAACCTGGCCATAAGAGAATAGTCAATGATTTAAAAATAATATCATCCTAGAAATATAGGAAACCAAAAATAGCATCAATTTCTTGAAGACACCAGTAAATAGTGCTCCAACATTAATTAATTTCCGCCAGTTAGTTAATTAATTATAGTGACTTTGAACTATCGTCTTTTAAATTCAATTAGTTTATTTTTGTGGAATCACTGTGAAAAAGATATTTTGATATTAATTAAGTGTTTCTAATAATAGACTAGTATTCTCGAAAATGAAGAATCAATACTATTAATTCTGTATCTCCTGACTTAGGATTAACTTAATGAACTTAATTTAGAATTAGGACATTAATTTGTTCTGATATATTCAAGTTTATTTTATTTTATTTGGAAAGGTACAGCAAAAGTACAATAGGACTTACATTATGTTAAAAAAATACAGTTAAGGGTGTTATTTATTAACATTCTAATACAGTTATAATATCGCAAATAAAATTAAATAGAAGATTGCGTCAATATTACTCACAATTTACTAAACAATATGAAAACAAAAACTACTAAAACATTTTGGTTGGTAAATAAGCGGGGTCTGAATATTTTCAGTAATTAGATATGCGAAATGTGATTAGAGCTTAAAACTGTTTCAAACTCTATATCCCAAATAGTGCCCATTAAGAAAGTTTTTGTTCCTAAATACAGGGTGACTTTGATATCGCCATTTTTTTAAAAAAAAACCCTATAAAACAAAATAACAATACGACTTTATCGTTATTATTTTTTACAGAAGTGTTTTTATAAAAAAAAAATTCGTGGTGGCCTATATCTTAAGTTTTCAAGGCTTCTAAATAATCGCTGTTAAATAAGTGTGCTAATTTTTTTATGAGCGAAGCAAATGCAGCGCATAGAAATAATATTTTTCCTTACGTAAATCGATTCGAAATCGCTCCCTAAAACTTAGCAACACCTTGCAATGTCACCCTATATGTATATTTGGCTTGTTAATTTCTAACAAGTTTTGACATAAAAAGTAGATTAGGCTCACGGGTCCTTAATTAGGTATGTAGTAAAAAGACATTGAATATTTAATACGAGTTCTAGTAATTAAGATTCTTAGTTTCCAAAATTAGAAAAAGAAATAGAAGCGTTTGTGTGCTTAAATATATTTAGTTAATTAGTATACGAGATGCGACACAGACTTAAGCATGAAATTTTAATTCCATTGAAGCTTAAGAAAAACATACCTTTGATTCTTTAGGGCTTTTTCATTCATGTATAATAATATTAGTTAGTATTACTTATTACCAGTTTTCAGTCAAAAGTTGTTGTGACGAATTTTTTTTTTTACTTTTACGCAACATAATGAACGAAATTGGGTTTAAAATTAGGTTCATAAAATAGTGTTTTGTCAAACAAATAGAAATGACAGAGACTTTGATCAAATCGTAATAAGATGCTCAATTTTCTTACACACCCTGAATTCTTTTAATGCTTTATATTTAGGTGTCTTTGCGAATCATCTATCTTACCTCTACGAGTAAATGATAAATGGGTTACAATTTTATATCCCTTTAAGGAATTATTTACATATCTTCAGCCCTACTAGAGCTTAATTCTTCTTTTAAATCCAAATCCCCTTATAATTCTTTCTCTTTCAGGCTACGAGGGAGGCCTCAACTGCGTGTACATAGCAGAAGTATGGGGAAACGAGGGGCTAGTCGTCAACGCCACCAATGGGGCAGCACTATGGAACCTCCGAAGATTGGGAGCTAAGAGGCAGCTGAAGCTAGTGGTGTACGCAGCCAATAATAGAGGGAGGTCGGAACACGTGACGTTTATTGTTGAAACTGCGCCACGACTTTCGCCGAGGACAGGTGAGTTTACCAATAAGTATGGGGTAACGAGGGGCTAGTCGTCAACGCCACCAATGGTGCTGCGCTATGGAACCTCCGAAGATTGGGAGCTAAGAGGCAGCTGAAGCTCGTGGTGTACGCAGCCAATAACAGGGGGAGGTCGGAGCACGTGACGTTTATTGTCGAAACTGCGCTACGACTTTCGCCGAGGACAGGTGAGTTTACCAATAAAATTTCCTTTGAGACAAGTATTTAAAAAAAAATCCTGAAAATTTTATTAGAAAGACAGGGCTATGATCTTATTTAGAGCCACTGGCTGGAGTCACAAAATCTGTTTTGGTTTTTATAAGTAGGTACACGCATAAATAAACAGTGTTTGTATTTATGAACCTAAAACGAATGGATTTAAGCGGAAAATATAGGTCCATCCATGGCTTAGGCAGCAAGGTACACTACATTCTGATGATAGCATTTCCTTGCCAGGTATCAATACTGGTAATCATCATCTAATGATGATCACCAGTCTTTAAAAGTCAACACACTAGATTGTCTTCTCTACTCCATTTGAATGCAATGTATTCCCGCAAACTTAACGCGATATAAGAATAAGAAATTTATTTATAATATTCACTATCTACATGTCAAAATTGTGAAAAAATTACCGATATTTCATACCAAGTTAAACCCTACCCACACTATTACGATAGGCATAGCAAACCGTGGGAGTTGGGGAGTGTCTGCGAACTGCCACAAAAGCCTTTGTCAAAATCTATAGAAAAAAGACAATTTTAGTACGCGGGGGCGAGTGAGGCACCGACGCAAAAAACATTAACTTTGAGCAAAACAACATGGGTGGGAGCAGCCAATTTAGTGTTTAAACTGTGTGGTGGGATGAATAAACACGTTCTTAGTTTTTTTAATGTAAGAAGATGGCTGACTTCACGTACCCCTGGGTCAATACAGAAAAAATAAAATAACATAAAACAAACGATCGGGCGACATTGATTTGACACAGGAGGAAAGTCTTCCAACTATGCAAAAAAACATCGAAATATACGCGAATACTTGGCTGCTCACTTCGATAACGAAAATCTTCGGGTTATCGTTATCTGTATGGCCTAGGAGCAGAGATGTGACGTTTTAACACCTGATTACTAATTATTTCTATGAAGCATCATCCTTACTTAACCACACGTCTGTAGGTAATTCATAGAAACCAATGCGTCGCGGCAGCACTATGTCGTCCACTGCTGCGTGGAGTTGGCTACGAAATTGTACCTTATCTTTAAGTCCCGTGTCTTTCTATTATTTAGGTTTCAAATAATTTAAATGGGTTATTCTTAGCTGTCCTTGAGTTTAACTCATATCCGAAAAAAGTGTTAAATGATGGAGTTCGATCTATATCTAAAGTATTTTTCACAGAAGCACAAGAAGTGTGGGAGGTGAACTGGCTGTTCGGCGTGGTAATAGGCGTGGCGTTCATAGTAGCACTTATCTTGTGTCTCGCTCTCATCGCGACGAGGATACACCACCGAGCGAGAGATTATCAAGGTTTGTAAGAGTAGGCGCACACCGTTGATTTTTCGTCGGCCGATATTTTAGTCGGGCAGTTGATCAGTATGGGCATGGGCATGACTGTATGGGAGTGCGCACACTACGCCGATTCGATTTGGCCGATTCTTCATACAAATTAAAATCGGGCACAACTATCGGCCAACTAAAAATCAACGGTGTGCGCCTACTCTAACTGTTTCTTTTATTTTAACTTTATCATAATTTTTAGGTGTCCATTATAAATAACTGATCGCTTCTCAAATAGTAGAAATAGAGCTCTGTAAATCTACTTTATTTATAATAGTTTAAGAAAAAACGTAAAATTCAAATTATTTTTATTTTTGACCAACAAATTTTTCATTAACAGTCTTCCTCAGCCCACCACATATTTTATTAACTTCGAGGGCCATATCACCACTAACTATGACTATTTTATTCCCTCGGCTATATTTTAATATAGGATATAGTTTCTATCGGAATATTCAGGCCTGATTTCATACTTCTGAGAAATCCTGTAAATAGCCCTTTCCATAACGAGATTAGAAACTTTAAATCGATAAATTAGTAGTAGGCTCTTATGTCCCGAGAGAAATTTTGGATTAAAAATATGTATAATAACACGAGAAAACTGCTCGCAAAAGATGTTCTACTTGTGGCAATTTATTTTTATATTTAAACTAATAAAGCAGCAAATATTGTCGTTGAATATGCTTATTACCTTGGACGTAAAAGGTATAGGTATTTAAAGTATTTGAAACGTATCAGCGACCTAGAAACCGAAACAATTTCTTGCACGCCAGTCTGTCGCTTTATACTTACTTAATACAAACGTTAAGTATTAAAATAGCCGGGTGAAACTTAAGAAGGCCTTTTCTTTTAGCTTTTATAAAAAGCGTAAAGTCATTTTCAACCGACTTCAAAAAAAGGAGGAGGTTCTCAATTCGACCCGTATGTTTTGTAAAATACTTACTTCATGAGGTCGTTTGTAATCTGTGGTAAGGCTAGTCAGTTGCACGCTGATCGTCGGCACTTACAGATAAATGTATGTGTCATACAAACACTAGTGAACTAAATAATTTTGAAGAAATTAAAATGTAAAAATATTATGAGAATGACTACTGGCTGGATTCAAAGTTGAATTGAAGTTGTATTGATGTTTAAACGGAATGAACTTTTCATTCAATAAAACACTCGAATTGAGAACCTCCTCTTTTTTTTAAGTTGGTTAAAAACTAATTACAACTTTACTTTACACAATGAAGCATTTTTTTCAAGGACGAATATACTACCTCGTGTCCGCCCACGTTAAATACATATTTCGGTAATTACTAATCTACAGTTTTCAAAGGCTAATTTAGTTCAGGTGGGAAGTAGAAAATTGGTTAGTGGGCTGTTATAAGTGCTTTTGAAGGATTTAAATGAATAGAATTTGAATTACTAAATATTCGATTTTGTTACAGTGACGATACCATCCTCTAAAAACCAGAAGACCGCACCGAAAAGAAGTTCTACCCACGGCCCCGATGACAGGAATCCAGACCTGATACCTCTCAGTAAAGGTAAATATACTGGTATATTATCATCTATCCATTTTAGGGTTCCGTAGCCAAATGGCAAAAAAACGGAACCCTTATAGATTCGTCATGTCTGTCTGTCCGTCTGTCCGTCCGTATGTCACAGCCATTTTTTTCCGAAACTATAAGAGCTATACTGTTGAAACTTGGTAGGTAGATGTATTCTGTTAACCGCATTAAGATTTTGATGCAAAAATAAAAAAAAAATATAATAAATATTGGGGGCTCCCCATACTTATCACTGAAACCCAAAAATGTTTTTTTTTTCATCAAACACATACGTGTGGGGTATCTATGGATGGATAGGCCTTCAAAAATGATATCGAGGTTTTTAAAATATTTTTTTTCTAAACCGAATAGTTTGCGTTACAGACGCTTCCAAAGTGGAAAAAAGTAGGTCTAACTTCTAAAATAAGAAAATGAAAAATCTAAAAAAACATAGAATACGATGTACATTACTATAAAAACTACCAACGAAACTTGTTTTGAACGAGATCTAGTAAGTAGTTTTTTTTTAATACCTCGTAAATCGTAAACCGCTGATTACCGCGTAATCTTTCATGCAAATAACTTAAATTAAAAAAATAATAATTTTAATTTCATCAATAGTACGGAACCCTCTGTGAGTGAGTCCGACACGCACTTGGCCGGTTTTTTAAAGTGCCAAAGACGGGTGTGTAATGTATGATATAACTACATATCATATAATACTTAGAGGATATAACATCAAATTATATAAAATCATTTAATATAATAATTATTTACTAAACAATACTACATACATAATAATAATACATAAACGAATAATATAATTTTAAAACGAATAATTTTAAGACAAATAACTATTAACTGATATAAAATGGTTTGATATAATGAATATTTTCTATAAAACTTACAATGTATAAAATTTAAAACAAATAACATTCAAATCATATAAAAATAAAGTGTCGAACAATCAAATGAGATAAAATTCTTTTCCTATAAAACTTAAATCATATAACAATAATAATTTTATATAAAGTTCAATTGTTATAATAAGCATTGCATGCAGCAAGCAAGCAAGCAAACAAGCAAGCTAGCAAACGAGCAAGCAAGCAAGTGAGCAAGCAAGCTAACATGCAGGCAAGCAAGCAGGCAAGCAAGCTAGCAAGCAAGCAAGCTAGCAAGCAGGCAAGCAAGCAGGCAAGCAAGCAGGCAAGCAAGCAAGCAGGCATGCAGCATGCAAAGGACAATGTTCGTTCTCCATACATTGTTCGCCTATAGAACCAACAATTTTGACATATTACTACCCGAAAGCGAAATAATACGATTCTGTGTGTAAGAACAACGATTCCTGATGGACACTTGCCATAAAATTAATGATTAAGAATATTAAATCACAGCGATTTTATAATATGTCGTTTATGACAACATGGCGTCTAATGTATTGTGTGAATGTATGAACACCGATTCGCGAAAAATGTTTTGTATTGTCGTCACGCCGAGTCGCAGCCAAATAGTATAAAATAATAGAACAAGTTTTAGAAATACAACTCGGCATTCCACTTTTACAATATGCCCACATATTGCACGTAAATAAACAACATGAATCGTAGGTTGTTTCCACCCTTGTCATCTGACACATGAAATAAACTCCTATTGTATTATAGATATCGAAGCCGAATCGTATATAATAATAGAATGGGTTTTGGAGATCACTCGGGGTTCCACTTTTATAAAATACCTACATATTACATAAAAATACCACGAATCATGAGTTTTCTTTTCACCATTTACATCTGACACGAGATAACAAACTCCTATCTCCATGACTACCATCGTAGTCTATGCCAAAGACTACAATATTTTAAGCAAGAAGTTTCAAACGGATTCTGACACTTTTACAGTTATGATACCATGAATATCAGTTTATGGTCCTAATTATTTTTATTTTATTTACGACCTTCGACCAGTTGGACACTTTAGATATCTTCTTGTAATAGTGTCAAACTGTCAATATCTTTTTAGCTTTTAACGCAAATCTAGTCTTCAAAGCAGTTTAATCGATTTATTTTATTTTCAAAATCGATATTTTATTGTCTATGATGGCCGCAGGAACATCACTATACATGGACTCCCAGCAATAAAGTACGGTAATGCCTCGTACAGATTTTATCGGCAAAAATTATGGAACTTGATAGGTTTTAGACCATGCCACGCACCAAAACGTCCGGAAGTTGTAATAGTATTATAGAATAAACGTTAAAAGACTTATTTATTTAATTTTTCAATGCTTAAGTGTCCATTAGAATGAAAGGGTGCTTAATGTATTAAAAAAAATAGAAAATAATTATGATGGGTTAATGTTTTTGGGCGGTTTTTTAGGCGGTTTCTGACAATGTCCTTTGACTAAAAACTTGAGACTTCTGTCACGGCTCCGGCACTGCGGGGCTCTGGCGGTCCCTCGCGTGCTAATCGTCGCAGATGGCTTTCGCTCGACACCGCGTCTTCGGCCGTTTTCGTCGCGGCGCCTCGCTTCCAGCCACCTGCTCCTCAGCCCGCGGGCCGCCTCGCCCCTCCGTGCCTACGCGCTTCTAAATTACACTCTAGGGGTAGGGCAGACAAGACTACGTGGAGTCGGTTTTACCACAGAATACATAATAGTAGCAACAGAAATTGCACTCCTTTGTGTAGGATCAGATGCCGACATTTTAACGGTAATAATATTAATGCAAAATATCCAACGCACATGGTGCATTCGAAATCGCACCTTACTACTACGCTCACAAGAGCGCAATTTTTTTGTGTTCAGAATTGATCTACCTCACAGCTCAAGCGTCAGGGTTGTTTAAACAAAGTAAAATAAATAAAAACTTAATTTTAAGAAGCATTTATTGTATTTACGATTGGTAAACTTTAATCTAGTGGTTTTTGTATAATCAAACCATCTCTAAAGTACCTATTAATAAACTTCAGTGTTGCGATAATTCGAAATTGGACAAACAGTTATAAAAGGTGTAGTGTCGGAAAATAGACACGGTGAAGTAAAGTTCATGTTTATTAGCTAAAATCATTTTTTTGCAGTTTTTTGTCATAACTATTTCAAAATTATTTAAAAGTGTAGTTTTTTTAATTATTTAAATTACTACAACAATTATTATTCCTAAATATTATGATTTTCCATTAAAGACGGATAACAGTGCTGTTGGAACAATAAACCTTGATTGTGACGATGATCGACCGAGCGTGTATTGACAGGCGCGGCGGCCCTGACTGATTTGCAACTTGAAGTTGTCGCGCGCTGTAGGTAATTATCTCGGCCGGCATAGGCGAGTGACGGAGGCCTGGTTTTACGACGATTCGTTTTTGTCACTAAAGTCATTTATAAGTCAAGCTAAAGAAGAACATACTAAAAGTTATATCTATCAGAAATTATATCAATTAAAGAGTATACCAAATAGTCGTTATAACAAATAATATTTATTTTATGTAATGGTTATATGAAATATTATTTATATTAAACAAAATTACATCAAATGAGTCTTAGATTAAGTAAGGTTTATATCAAATGTCTTTATGCGTTTTGATTGGTATCTGAAATGACATTATTAGAAATGATTTATTATATGAAGTAAACATTATATGTTAAAAAATTATATCGAGTGTTATTATAACATACGTTTATTATACAATATGAACGTTATTGAAATGAATTTATATCATATTATAAACTTATATAAACTGTCACGCACCCGCCAAAGACAAACGCCCGCATTCACAAACATTACTATGAGGCCTCACAGTGCATGTGGACGCACAGGGTGACACACTTACCAATCACAGAGCGCTGTGCGTTAGATTTTCTGCTTCACTTAAGCAAGCATCGTATGGAATACGGGTGATAAAGTCTTAATTCTGAAACTTTTCATATCCTAAGTAAAGCACACTTATTTTCATTCATTTTCTTTTACAAAATGTGAGAAATATAGTCTTTTTCACCAAGTCCAGTCCTGGTGAAAAGGAAACAATATCAAAATTCGTTAAGCAATTGTTTTTTCTGAGTAAAGCGGCTTTTCTAGTTCAGTGGAGACTTAGTTTTGTTGCAACGGTTTCGATATGTTATTATTGTGATTTCTAGCCCCTACTTCTACTATTGGACCTACAAATACCTCCTACGAGGTATAGTTTTTTTTTGGGGATCGATGTCTTACTTCAACGTTTCGTTTTAGATCGAGCGTTTATAGTATACTAGCTTTCCGCCCGCGGCTTCGCCTGCGTGGAATTTTGTCTGTCACAGAAAAACTTTATCGCGCGCGTCTCTGTTTCAAAAACCGGGATAAAAACTATCCTATGTCCTTTCCCGGGACTCAAACTATCTCTATGCCAATTTCATCAAAATCGGTTCAGTGGTTTAGGCGTGAAAGCAAGACAGACAGACAGACAGAGTTACTTTCGCATTTATAATACATTTTATTATACATAGTATAGAAGATACTCTTACTCACGCATTTTATGATTTAATTCAGGATCCCCCAAAACTGAACTTAACTATCGTGTGAACATAAAAGTGTGTTTGAAATACGAAATACAAATTCGAATGGATCGGTTTTTTAACGGGGCTCTGCAAACGGGATATTCGTGTGAACGTTAATTTTGAAACACATATACTAATAAATGGGATTCTGCAAAAAACGGGATGTCCGGGGAACAAGCCCTCAGTACACGAGTAGATTTTTAGATTTTAGTCGATCAAAACGTCAAGAGCTATTAATAACCATTAAAATTAACCCTCCGTGTACGAGGTGACTAAAAGTTACGTCCCGTACCAGGTGGGGTATGACATACCCCAATATACAAAGTGATAAAATTTTCATTGAACATTTTTTTAGGTGGAATTTAATATTTAATATTGATTACTTACGTATGCTAATTAGGTGTAAGAAAAGCTCTGAGCTGAAAATGTGTATTATAACATTTTTATCATAAAATAACAAAAAGACACAATTTTCGTTGTTCTTGTAATTGAGGAATCAGTTTCTTATGTATAATTTTTAATTAGTGCCTTTAATTATGACAACCGTTTTATTTAACAAAGTACAAAATATTTACTTATAATTTAAAAGTAAATTAAAGACTGGAAGGATATAAATTTATTTTGATCATCGGTTTTTAATTTATTACAATTCTGATGAAAGAAAATGAGTATGCTCAATGCTTAAAATGGGAGCGTAACAATTTTATTTATTTATAAAATATGCTGTTCCATTTCAGTAGCCCATAAATTGTATCACTAAGTATAAATTGTAGCCCATAAGTGTATGTTCACATACATCTTCGGATCTCAGTACTAAACTTCCAGGTTCGCACTAAAAGTCATCTCATTTGACTAAAAGTGCTTGAAACTTTCAGATTCCGTGAAAATTACGAAAAATAGAGGCATGTAACTCAGTTGGTAGTCACCGCTGGACTGATTTTGCAGCGATGATCGAAGCAGCAGCGCCATAATTCCAGCTACTGAGAATTTCAAATTCAGCACTTGCAAATTTTTAAAATTATGGCGATTTTTAAAGGCCTGGGGTGTGTCACACCCCACCTCGTACAGCGAGGGTTAAAGTTGTAAAGCGTTTAAGCCGTTGCTGCTTGTAACATTACACCCCAGCTAAATGTTTTAAATTCGTACAGTACCCACATTCGTACACAAAATTCTTGTTGCAAAACAGCACCTTATTACGTAAGAGTTAAAAGATACCTTCGTCTGTACACTACGGAGTTCGGTAACATCTGTGGCGATGTGCAGCGGAGCCCTAATGCATGTCGCTTGGGCGAGTTGTTACGAGGGGACGAATAATGTTGATTCTAGATTTCAAGAATGTTTAATAGTGCTGCATAACTATCGATTATAAGAAAACTAATTGTACGGATATCGATAGTGGATTATAATGCCACAACATAATAATATCTAATCTATATCTATAAAAGCGAAAGGTGACTGACTGACTGACTCACTCACTCATCACGAAATTTCAGAAAATACAAATGCCAAAAAGTCTAAAATTTTGCATGGGGGCTCCTTTTAGAACGTACGAGTAGGTGCTTACTAAGGCCCGGTTTTGTGATTCGTAGTTAAAATAACTATATGTTTACATTTTGTTAAAAAAATGTACTAAAAGTCAAACTAACCATTGTTCGAAAAACATTTTTTTCTGATATTTAACCACTTGTCAATTGACATCTGTCAAATTTGACTATTGGTTAATTTAACTACGAATCAAAAAACTGGACCTAAGACGGGATTTTGCAAAATTTAACCCCTAAGGGGGTAGAACAGAATCCACGCGTACGAAATCGCGGGCGGCCGCTAGTAACCTATAGTGACAGATAATAATCTGCATTAATAGATACGGGACTATTCCCGCCTTTCGTTCCTACCGCTGCAATTTCTGAGTAGCCGCTAGTAAAAACCCAACCAGTGGAGGTCAAGTTGAGTTTAGTGATAGCTTTTAATCTATAGTAATAGATAGGTACAGCTGTTGACTAAGTAGATGTAATACTCATTTAATTTATTTTCCACTCTAAATGATTATAGCTCTACCCTCACTTTGGAACAGTGTTGCCATTATAAATGTATCCAAGGCTCACAAAGCTAAAAAACTAAACCGAACACCAACTCTTTCATCGAAATAAAATTCAAAACGAAATAGAAATAGCTTTAACCCATTTAGACCGATAATTATTTTTGTAAATAATAATTGATTTCTCAGCAAGAACTTACAAAGGGAAGCATAAAAATAATGAAAAAAATATTTAAAAAAATAATCCATAAAAAGGGGGCCGTGGGGAGCCCGTACCATATAGGGTACAGTAGGTCTATATGCATGCAAAACATACTAGTTGTTCAAAGCAGGTTTTTATTTATTTTTGTATGACATAAAATAAAAATAAAATCACATAATCACCAGTATTACTCTTGGCATAGCTTGTAAGTCGTTTTATGTGGCACTAATCACATTTGGTTATTTTTTCCTACCTTCTCCAAAGTTAGTGAGGATAGCTGAAGAAGACCTGGCTTCTTCTGACTTGTTACGTTTATTGCTATCAATAACCGCATTTAACAATACGATGAAGGAAATTTAGCAAATCCATCGAAGAAAATTCTGAGGATAATTATTTATATTGACACTATCGTTATCGCCTGAATCTTCGTCAGTCTGATCACCATTAGCGGCCATCTGATAAGAAAGCAGTAAAAATATACCAAAATTGCTTTGTTTGCTGAAATTATATTTTTTTTCTAGAGTTGTGGCAATCAAGTGAAGCATCAATAGCCTAAAACAATGAAAAATAATAAAAATTAAATTACATTTTCTCGCATGATTTTGCTTATGCATAGACCTACTGTACCTTATAGGGTACACCTATTTTAGACTAGAAAAAATGGTATAAAAATAATCTCAATAATATTTTTTTCGTAGTTATGATATCTATTGTACTTTATTTTTGAAATAAAATGGATAAATAATATAATTTACCATGAATAATATGAAATATACCTTCTTGAATACATTGTAAATATTCTTTTTGTTTTCTGTCGAGGAATTTTAAAAATATTTCCGAAACCACCTGTTAAAACGCATTTTTTAATATTGTTATGTAAAATAATCACTTTAAGCTTACTGTCACAATCATTTTTACAAAATAACAACAGTTTGGTACTTCAAAATATTTTCAATAATATACCGTACCACATAGGGTACGGTAGGTCTAATTGGGTTAATAATACAACGAACTGTCCAGATCGTTCAATTGAAACTGTCCCAAAATACAAAACTGTGTATAGTTTTATCGATTTGAATAGAAATGTGTCCTGACAGGCAATGTATGATGCCTATAGTAAGCGACCACTGGCAACACACACTGGTCAAAGACTTAGACTTAGTCTTGAGTTTCGAGTGACGATTATTAATACGAGTTTTTATAACCAAAGATTGCAATGCAAACAATGCAATTCTAGAAAACGATAAAGTAAAAATATCAACTTTCTAGTTATCACAATAAAAACACAACTAAAAATCGTTAATAATAGCAGCCGGATTTAAAATATAAAATAAAACGCGAAGTAAAACTCCGCGAATTCGCTCTACACTGTAACAGCAAAATCAATACGAAGCTGTACTTACAAAAATAAGCAACGAGTTTCGATAAGTTAACTTGTCCGTAACAAAACAAATACATTAACCGTTCCAAAAACAGACGTTAACCAACGGATTTCGCACCGATTCTCGATCAGTCCGCCGTATTTTTGTATTAGCCGGCGAACTTGCAAAGCATCCAAGTCTTTTAGCTTAAGCAAAGAGGATTAACGGGTCAAGTTAGTTGCCTTCTGTTTGTTTAGCTTTGTATTTATTTATCGATGTTCCTCTTAGCTGAATAATTAGTTTAGCAGTTAACAACCCGCGGTCGCTGTTAACAAAGTTTCTCGGCTGCAATCTTTTTATGCAATCGCTTATTCGGCGCTCGGCTCGCTTATTTAATTTTGATGTAAATTAGCTAGCTCCGGATCGACGGCGTTTATTAAGGTTGTTTTTTATTATTCTTGCGAGAAAAGCTGCGGTTTCTCCTTCAAACAGTTCTAATAATGAATTTCTTTCTGCTTTTCGAAGATTGTTTAGCTCGGTGTTTACAATTGACCTTAATTTCCCTTCAACTATGAATAACATTTTCATGGTGGGATATTTCAATTCTCTAGAGTCTGGTTCAGTAAGAAAGTATAAAATCTAATTAAAAAAAATACGTAGAACTAAACATTTAGGCAGTGATAGATGAATATTATGTCAAATTTAAGTTCTGACAGTACCGGTAGACGTAATCTCACTTATACCGTGGCATTTTATCCGCTTATGTAAACAAAATAATAAGTTGTTAATATAAAAATGTTTGTTTATAAAAATGTATGCCAAGACTAACAACAGCTTAACTAACTTGCACCTTCACATAGGCGTGTCGGAGTGCGCGCCTGAGCCGCCTTCGTACGCGGCGGTGGCGGCGACGCCGGAACCGAAGATTTCGGCGAGTGCGCACAGTTTGCCCCGCACTCAGTCGCCGTGTTCGCCCGTCTCTCCTCACGCGCAGTACACAGATTCACAGGTCAGCTTATTAACAAAATAAATAAAAGATGCAATATAATATAGATCGTTCTTAAGGCAACCTTTCGAACTAAGCGTCACAGACGCAGCGTCTTTATCTTTGGTCAAGTGCCACCAACGCTGCGTCACTAACGCCGCGAATTGTCGCTGCGTTTGAATGATGTTCCCCAGAATTTCATACATTTGCATAGAACATTCTATTTGTCGCTCTGTTGCGGCGTCACTGTCGCGGTGCCACTGACGCTATTGACGCTCGCTTCGAAAGGCTCCTTTATCTAGAAAAGATTTGCACACCCGTCGTTTTGAAGTTGAAGATATTGTCAAGTGTGCACAGTTTTCCCCGCACCCAGTCGCCGTGCTCGCCCGTCTCGCCTCACGTCCAGTACACAGACTCACAGGTTAGCATACTAGCTTAATTAATAGCATCTGTGCCTGTTAAAATATGGTTGGTTTTGTTGTCTCTCCGAGAGATGATTTCGGCGAGTGCGCACATTTTGCCCCGCACCTAGTCGCCGTGCTTACCCGTCTCGCCTTACGCCCAGTACACAGATTCATAGGTTAGCTTACTAACATTTTGACATGTGTGCCTACCACAATTAGACTGGTTATTGTTTGTATCATGGAGCCTATGATATCGGCGAATGCGCACATTTTGCTCCGCACCCAGTTTCAGTATTCGCTCGTCTTGTTCCACGATGTGTACCTACATTAAATTCAGTTTTTAGCGAATATGTGAAGGTTTAATTTTATTCGCAGAGTGACTCCGGTCGTAGCATACTGAACGGTGTTGCGAGATCTCACAGAGAAGTGGTTACAACAAGAACGCCTCTACTCGCGGCGCATCAAGAAAGCTGCGTGTAACGTTGCCCTTATCATAGTCAGGTTAGTTAAGTCTTAAATTAAGAACAATTGGGTCGATTGCTGAATTTGAGCTTTATTTTCAGAAGATAAAAGGTTGTATATGATTAATTTTGTTTCATTATTAATAATCCTAACGTCTTTTGTTACTTCAATTGTTTAGCGAGAAAACAATATTATATCATTCGAGAGCATATCAATTTAAGATGAGTGTAAGTAGTAGTCATATCATCCAACGTTTTCGTGGAAAATAATAAAAAATGAGACATTTTCGCAAATGTTTTGAAGTCTTGTTTGAAGTAACAATGAAATGAGAGGTGAAAATTTAATGACTGCCACGACGTGCCATTTTACTTTTGATACTCATATTGTTTGTATGTCAAACCAATGTAACTCGACATTGCAAGGATCCCAGTTAAATATTTACTTTGTCAAGAACCAGTAATGGATGTTGGCTGAACACGTGAGTTGTATGTCAAGTAAATTGAATGTTTTTCCATCCATTAGAAATGATAATATTATTTAATTTATTTTGTTTAGGCTTAGACTATTGCATGCTAGAACTTTTGTTTCAGTAATTAATTTTATACCCAAACGTAGACAATTTTACTGATGTTGTACTATTTTATGTTCTTATTTATTTAACTTATTGGTTACTATGGTTAAATAATAACAAAATGGAAGTTACTATAAATTACTCGAATACATACATTAGACATTCCTCATAGAAGTTTTAGGTGAAATTTTGAGACAATGACTGATAAAATGAGATTGTAAATATAAAAAAACTTAGCGAATACTAAATAAATTTCGAAATTTCGATTAAGGATAGGTAGGTCTCTTGAAGAGAGATAGGGAAATGAATATAAACGGGCTATAAGCTAAAATAATTTTAATTTATAAAGTTTAGTATGTAAAACTGTATAAACTGTTTTCAATTGTTACAATCTTTGATTTTTAATTCATCGCACAATTTTGAAAAATTGATGATGTGTACTTTTAATGTAATAATGTACAAAGGTAATTAACTACTAATGTAAAGTTGAATTAATGGTTAATAATAATGTTTTAATTCAGTTATCGAGACTATCATAGTTATTTATTTCAAATAATAATTATGTTTTTGTATAATACCAAAGATTATGTGAAATAATGTAGACATTAACTTACCTCTAACACGATCGTCTCTCCAATTATATTTTTACAAACTAATATTGAGTAAGTGAATCATTTCTAGCAAATGAAAATTCATTTACTTTAATTTTGGGATGAAAATTTCAATGAGACATGATTGTTTCGTCTAATACCATTGTTATAAAATTACGAAAGTTTTACAATTTCAATTAATAGTGCAATAACAAATAATTATTAAATCAATATTTTATAATTTATTTTGCTTTCAAAGATTTAATTATGTATTATTAGAAAATTATTATGTATTATATACAAAGTTTTGTTGAAAAGTCAAGATAACAATATGTTTGACTATAATGTAAATAATGAGGGAATTTTGTCTAATATTTTGTTTTTTAATCATGATTCTCACAAATGTTAAAGACGTAAAATGCTCATGTATGCGTTAGATGATTTATTAATTATGCATGAAGGAAAAATGGGAATGTGATTAAAATCCTTTTTTATTACATGTGATTCAATAAAACATTGAAATTTGTATCGACGTTTCATTTATCGAAATTTCAGCCTACGTCCTGGTAAAGGTAGTGTAGTACTTTGTTCCTGTTTGATGGACTGACGACCTCAAGAAGATGGTAATGCCAGAAGCAGATCACTGGGTAGGTAGGAACTACAGGGTAAGTTTACAGTGTGATCTAGTATGTGGATCAGTATGACAAGTGTGTTTTTTTAATAAAAATCAAATTTAAAAAATCAATACTTCCATCGTAACTCGTAGAAATATGTCACGTCACGTCTTTTTCATTATTTCATTGTTGGTTTCCAAATCAAGGATGATGGACAAAAATGGAAAAAATCGCGTCAGGTGACTAACAATAGGTGTGCATTTGCTACATAAAAGTATGCTCACCTTCCCGATCCAAAAAAGACCGTATAAAATGAGCCTCAGAAAATTTGACATGATTTACTCGTCCTTACTCTTTTGATCTTTCTTTTCCATAAAGGTAATATTTTAGGCTAAATATTTTATACAGATTGCAGCTGGACACCTCGAGGCATTGTGCGGAGTGACGCAGGTCCGGCACAAAGCGAATCCGGCTCGAAGGACCATTTGTTACGCATTCAGTTTGCCCGTCTGCTATTTATCTCAGACCATTGGCTGGGCGGCGATCAGTTCGGTATCGATTTATCAAATGGTAAGACGCTATTCATTCGAATTCAAATCATAAAAATATTTTACATTTACCAGAAGTAATGGATATTAATTTAATACTTTGAAGCTTGCGTGAGCCGCTGTAATTTAAGGCATCAAACTAATTATTTTTGGTCTTATCTACATCAGTTAATACTAAAGAATGTATGGTTACTAGATAAATTAACATACCTATCCTTTGCTATAATAAGTTTGTATTTTCAAAATGTTAATTAAATTTTCGTTAACTAATTCTTATAAAAAATAATAATATCTTAAAGTGTTTACGTAAGTAGTCTTACGTAAAGAAGCCCAACTCTATTTATGTTGTTTTGTATTGTAAATAAATTATATTAAACCTAAGACTTATCGCAATAATAATCTTTTGTAATATCACTTACCTAAATAAAAAAACATTTGTATTCGTTCTTGTCACAAAATATTGTATTACTTCGACAAGTACAAATGGTCGGTATCTTATCTACAAACTTCCATTTCGTAGATTAAATTGAATTTTTAACAACTTACGTCAACTAGGTATAGGTTTTTAGGCTCGTACTTACGTATTAATGAAATACGTAACTCAAAGCAGGTTACGTCAATTACTAAAATACAAGGCTGGGTTGCACCATCTTACTTTAACTTTGACAAACGTCAAAAATCTGTCAAAATCCAGACAAAAAACGCCGGTTATCGTTATAGTTACGGTCAACGTTAGGTGGTGCAACTCGGTCTTAGTTGCTCCTATTTACGTAACTCATATGCAGGATTCACATTGACCGGCGCGAGTCGGCGCGCAGCGCAGGGTCCGTTCGGCCAAAAATGCGGTGGAGTGTGCGCGTCTGCGCGCGTATCCGCTGGAATACACCCGGAGCCGACCGGCTTCCGACGCATACTCGCGAATCCGTCCGGATTGAAAATGTCAGTTAATCAATTGTTAGCAATTAGGTACGACTCTATGGCTGGGTTGCACTATCTTACCTTAAACTTTGACAAGAGTAAAAAATCTGTCAAACTCCATATAAAAAGCACCGGTTATTGTTATTATTACAGTTAAAATAAGGTGGTGCAACTCAGCCTAAGAACTGTTAATAAAATACTATTTTCTTTTACGGCCGTGTAAGTGCGCTCCGACGCGCTCCGACCACAGAATAATAATAAGTACTACGTACAGAAGTTTTACTTCGCGAAGGTATTTAAAAAAATGTATGCTCAATGTCATTAACAATATGGTGTAATTTAGCCTGTCTCACGAGTCAAGCACCATTTTGTTGACAAACATTAGTGATCGGCAATGCGCCGAAGCTATAGGGCTGACTTCGGTAAAATGATGTGACGTGAGGTGCCAAACTGCGGAAAATGCGGAGGAAATACATGATTTAGCATGAATTATCATGAATAATATTAACTAATTATTTCCCTCTCAGTATCTTGAGTAACTTAACTCTCTCTCTCAGTAACTTAAAAAAGTACATTCTGTGTTTTTATTATTATTTAGGCAGTTAAATACTGCACAGTATTTAGTACACCATTTTCTTTATTTTCTTCCATCATACACAAGAATACGCGTGCGTGAGTCAATGTTCGCTCGTATGTGAGGCCTTGTTTAATAGTATCTTGTAGGTGGGCCATCGTGCGTGTTTTGTTTTCGATGTAAACTCGCGGAGATGAACAGGCCTGCTCCGACGCGCGCGGTCAAATGGGTAAGTGTATTGTCACATAGTGCGAAAGATTTTATAAAAAAATATAATTATTCAGGCCAAGCCAGCATTTTTTACCCGATCTTCTTGTATTGACGACTACAAAAAGAAATAATTATCTCAATCACAGTAAGACGTAAATCTTCATTGATGGCATAGCCGAAAATATAAACGTCAGTGTTATAAAAGAGGTATACAGGGTGGAAAAGTTAAGTGATCTCACTCGATTATTCCTAAACTAAACAAGATATCAAAAAAGTAGTTACTGATACTGACAGTGCTTTATGAGATCTATCAAACGGTATATTATAGGTTAGAGAATAAACTGGTTCTATCCGAAAATTCAATGTTTCCAGCTTCCATACATTTGGTACAGCCACGTTTTTAGTTAAATATGAGTGCACGGAGCAGAGGGTGTACTGTATAAAAGTTAACCGTAATGGCCCCAGATGATAGATAGATTATTATTATTCTACAAAATATTAACACAATTAAACATTACAATCTAACTAGTAATTTCAATATTTAAGACGGATGAAATTCGAAATAGTATCCTCAAAACAATCTAAACCACATTGTCGATTTGATACTACAAACTTTCCTTAGAGTGAACTGTTGAAATACATTTTTCTACGAGTTGTGTAATTTAATATGGTTGTCATTTCTACGTAGAAAGTAAGTAAATAATGGTGGTTTGTACATTAGTTGATTAAAAAGTATCTTTGAAATTGTTTTCAATGTTTTATTATGCCTGCTGTACCTACACGTAGACCAATGATTTTTAGAACATTTATTTTATCTTGGTGATGAAAAAAGTAAGTTTTGGTACGTTTCGCCAACAGTGTGTACATGTTGGCCTATTCTTGAAGAACGAACGTTCATTTTTCATTATAAAATATCAGTATCGTCGCCAGGTCACCAGGTCTTTTAGTGTCTTCTGCAGCTAAGCATGATCATTTCTAATTTTCCAGAGGCAATGAAAGATTCGCTAATGTCCATCTTTAATACACTGTCATTACTGTCAATACAGAAAGATTATAAAACAATCCACATTATAAGACTAGGCGCAGACCATCGATTTTTAGTTAGCCGCGATAGTTGTGCCCGATTTTAAATTGTATGAAGAATCGGCTAAATGAAATCGGTGTAATGTTCAACTGCCCGACTACTACTTATGCCCATATTGATCAACTGCCCGTCTAAACTATCGGCTGACGAAAAGTCGATGGTCTGCGCATAAACTAAAACGCTTTTAGCGCTTAGTGCTCTCTATACAAGGGCTGGACTAATACATTGGTCCAATACACTGCTCAAACACATTGGCCCAAAATACTTGCCCAAGGTATTGGGAAAATAGAATTAGATTATCCGATCGCAATGTTATCAAAATACTGATAAAAAAAAATTATGAAGATTTTAGTTCTTGAAAGTATCCGCTAGGGTCGCTGTACAATCCGTCATACATTTAATGTCATTTTTTTACTCACACTATAAGCCCTCAGATTCGCATTCGTTACTTAATCCATAGGAAAAAGGCACTTAAAGGCGACATAACATTTTATAAAGTCAGAAGTAAAAAAGTATTACCACAGGTATTACGTAGACAAAACGAAAGTCTTCTTAATATTTTTGTGGCACTTATTTTTGCCGCAACACGTGCCTAAGACTACCACTGATATTTTGTTTCTTCAATTCTACGAAAAACGATGTTGAGCTGATACGAAAAGAAGCTAAACCTTCAGGGCACATAGTGATTTCAGTAGACCTGAATATCACGTAGTAGGTACTTATAATTATTCTGTGACATCACTAACAAGTTTAGCAAAAGCTTACATTATTATTTTTAATTTATCCCTTAAAACAAGCTTTTAGTCCACAAATGTGCCCTTATTCAGACAAAACTAACGAGCATACATTTCAGTTCAGTCGGTTGCTAGGAAGTAGGTCTAACGCCCGTATGAAATTCACAAACATTACTATGAGGTCTCACAGTGGGCGTGGACGCACAGGGTGACACACGAACCAATCACAGAGCTCAACTTTCAACTAAGAGAAATTCAACGCTGTGCGTTCGATTTGCTGCTTCACTTAAGCAAGCATCGATTGTGAATACGGACGTAAGAGCGAAAGCAGTGCGACTCCGGAGCATCGTCTTTACATAAATCTTAATCTTTGCATGAATTCAAATTTTTTAACTGAATTACGTTGGAAAAGGTTAGGAAAATACACAATATTAACCCACTTATAACGATGAATTTACTTCTACTGCACAGACATATTTAATCCAAGGATTAGTCCAACGTTGGAAAACAGCACTTTATACAGCTGTCAGTTTTTTAACAACTGATAAGGTAAAATATTTTAATCTCAAAATAAGACTTCAGAAAATGCTCCAGTACAGCACATCAGACTATAAAGGACAATGTTCGTTCTCCATACATTGTTTGCCTAAGAACCAACAATTTTGACATATTACTACCCGAAAGCGAAATAATACGATTCTGTGTGTAAGAACAGTGATTCCTGATGGACACTTGCCATAAAATTAATGATTAAGAATATTAAATCACAGCGATTTTATAATATGTCG